CCAGGATGCTACATCAATGCGAGCTGTGGCAAGAAGGTTTGCTGTGTCTGTCAGCGTAGTGTCCAGAGCATGGAGGTGCTACCAGGAGACAGGCCAGTACATCAGGAGACGTGGAGGAGACTGTAGGAGGGCAACAACCCAGCATCAGGACCGCTACCTCCGCCTTTGTGCAAGGAGGGACAGGAGGAGCACTGCCAGAGTACTGCAAAATGACCTCCAGTGGGCCACAAATGTGCATGTGGCTGCTCAAACGGTCAGAAACAGACTCCATGAGGGTGGTATGAGGGCCCGACGTCCACAGGTGGGGGTTGTGCTTACAGCCCAACACCGTGCAGGATGTTTGGCATTTGCCAGAGAACACCAAGATTGGCAAATTCGCCACTGGTGGTGCTCTTCACAGATGAAAGCAGGTTCACACTGAGCACATGTGACAGTCGTGCAGGGTCTGGAGACGCCATGGAGAACGTTCTGCTGCCTGCAACATCCTCCAGCATGACCGGTTTAGCAGTGGGTCAGTAATGGTGTGGGGTGGCATTTCTTTAGGGGGCCGCACAGCCCTCCATGTGCTTGCCAGAAGTAGCCTGACTACCATTAGGTACTGAGATGAGATCCTCAGACCCCTTGTGAGACCACATGCTGGGGCGGTTGGCCCTGGGTTCCTCCTAATGCACAACAATGCTAGACCTCATGTGGCTGGAGTGTGTCAGCAGTTCCTGCAAGATGAAGGCATTGATGCTATGGACTAGCCCGCCCATTCCCCAGACCTGAATCCAATTGAGCACATCTGGGACATCATGTCTCGCTCCATCCACCAACGCCACATTGCACCACAGACTGTCCAGGAGTTGGGGGATGCTTTAGTCCAGGTGTGGGAGGAGATCCCTCAGGAGACCATCCGCCACCTCATCAGGAGCATGCCCAGGTGTTGTAGGGAGGTCATACAGGCACGTGGAGGCCACACACACTACTGAGCCTCATTTTGACTTGTTTTAAGGACATTACATCAAAGTTGGATCAGCCTGTAGTGTTTTTTTCCACTTTAATTTTGTGTAACTCCAAATCCAGACCTCCATGGGTTGCTAAATTTGATTTCCATTGATAATTTTTGTGTGATTTTGTTGTCAGCACATTCAACTATGTAACGAATAAAGTATTTAATAAGAATATTTCATTCATTCAGATCTAAGATGTCTTATTTTTGTGTTCCCTTTATTTTTTTGAGCAGTGTATTATAGTGGCTGTCAAACTCACAGCCCATGGGCTGGATGTGTCACATGCTGGCCATGCCCACGCCTGGTGTAACGAAGGGGGGGAAAAGTCGCGATACATCACATGATAACACCATGACGATACAAGTTTGACACCCCTGCTATAGTTGATTGCATGCTTAATGAATGTATGTCACATCTTCATAGCGCTTTGGTTGCTTTAAATGAGGCACATTTTAGCCAATAAGCAGAACTTTTTTCCAATAAAGGACAATATTGGTGACTCAGTTTTGAAATGAGAGGTCCTTGGTGCTCTGTGAGCTTGGTTGTTTTCTTGCAGACGTTTCACTACCCAAACTAGATAACATTATCAGTGCTATCAGAATGGTTTACTTTCTCCTTCCCCAACAAACACAAGCTTCCCTACATCAAAGGACCAAAAAAGTAAATGAATTATTCAGAATGAGACCAGTGGAAGAGGCTCTAAGCTCTTCCCTCTCTGCTTCAATCAACACAGGCTCCTCCCTTCCCACAGATGGTCTCATCCCCAAACAAGAGGAAATTGACTATTTTGAGATTATTGTTAATGAGGAAAGATATGAATTGGACAATAGCCTAGGGAGTATGTATAGTCCATTTTGTAAACTATGATTGACTTTCCAATTGTGGCATCGAGTTAAAGTATGACAAAGCCCTTCCATTACCCTCAAATTGCTTCATAGCAGCAGGCAGAAAAGCACTGAAGTCCTGCAATCCCCAAATTTCATGTTTAATCTCTGGTGGAAAGACCACTGGATTTTCAAATTTCTTCTTCTCCTTATAGCTGTAGAAAAATAGACCATAGTCAATTGTCAATCCAGCCTGTAATTCTCAGAAGCTTTCTTAAAAAGTGAGGGACAAACTAGAGTTAGACTTAGATCTCGTTTTAGTATGTCCAATCCAGAAATTTCTCCAGAGAGACAGAAGAGTTTCTCTCTATACATTTCCTTGATGCATAGAAGAAATAAAGCAGGAAAAGAAGCCACAACTGGGGAAACCATACTGCATTAAATACAATTATTCCCAAATCCAGATCTTGTAATCCTGAATTTTGGTGGATTTTCATAGGTACATCTGGGGCTTCATGAAAAGTGGCATCTTACAAGACCTGCTAAACCAGGATCAGTCAACCTGACTTTTCCCTATATATGATAAAAATGATAAATATTGTTAAGAATCAGTTGGGAGCCAAAATTCAATAATAGAGTGCAGAAACCAGGAAAAAAAAAAAACGGGCTACAAGTTTTAGGAAACCAAATGCCATCCCAACTTTCAATAGCCATCACAGCCATATGCAAAAATGGGCCAAAATAAGACCAAAAATACAAGTTTCTATTCCACTTGTAACTATGGTATTGTTGCCTTTGCAAATGTTAATTGAGCACCATTATTCATGTAATCATGAATATTTAATGCACTATTCAATCTATAAGTTTAATTAATCTTTGTGATGCCTATACCTCGTGCACCAAGCTATATAGTGATATGTATCAAGGCTTCTATCCAACTCTGATTCATACTACTTTTCTTTGAAAACAACATATCCTCTGTCTCAACCAAACCATTTAACTTCAAATCATTTTCACCCCAATTTCCAAAGTAAGCAAATTGGTTGCACTTGCTTATTATAACCCCATGTAGATGAATTGGTATATTAAAATGAAGTATGTCATTTTTTTGTATATCAGAAAACCAGGCAGCTTTCAATATGTATCCATCAATCCATCCATCTATCCATCCACATACAAAATAAATATTGACCTGGCCATTTCAAGGAGATCAACTTACCATTCCAAGATGCTTCCAACATTCTAAAATTAAAAAATAAGAAACCATCAGTACTCACTTGTCCAAAATCCTTCTAAAAGCAGGGCTAATAGCTAAAAAGCCTTCTAAATGTTGTTACGGCTAGAGCAACTAATATCTCTCATCATTAAGCATACAAAGACTGCTAGGAACTGTAGTTCAGCAATATATAATATTTAGCAATGCCCAGATTCCATATCTAAGATTCTAAAGGCATACTTTAAAGTTTGGACATGAATACACTGAAACTCTTCATCCATAAAGACTAGGAAAATTCAGTGGCCATTTTAGAGAAACCAGATTTTGAAAGGCAATATTCAAACTTTAAAAAGTAAAATAAAAAGTTATTGGGAAAAAATAGGTTAAACATATTCTGCAAATTGGGTTACACCAACTGGGAACTAGAGAAAAAACTCACTGATTCTGTCCTGTATCTTCAGACTGAAGCCTGAATATTCAAGTGAGTAAGAAAGTAATACAGGTAGTCCTTGACTTACAACCATTCATTGAGTGACCATTAAAAGTTATAACGGCACTGAAAAAGAGTCACCTTTGACCATTTTTCACACTGATGATTTTTGCAGTATTCTTGTGGTCATGTGATCAAAATTCAGTCACTTGGTAACTGGCATGTATTTATGATGGTTGCATGATCACCTTTTGCAACTTTCTGATAAGCAAAGTCAATGGGGAAGCCAGATTCACTTAACAACCATGTTATTAACTGTAGTGATTCACTTAACTTAAGAAAGGTCATAAAACAGGGCAAAATTCACTTAACTGTCTTGCTTAGCAACAAATTTTGGGCTCAGTTGTGGTCATAAATCAAATATATGAAGGTGAATCCATTTTCTTAAATATACCCAAACAATTTTAATATTAGGTATGTTTTTGAACTTATTCTGTGGACTAAATGTAGAACTAAATGATTCCTAGGTGTAGAATAAATATCTGGTTACAATATGCTTTCTTGCTATTTAGCAGAGTCCCTGGAGATGCAATTGATTGTATAGGTCTGCATAGAATCTTCTCTTTCAGACATGCTTCTTATCAATGCTTCTTGGAAGAATGGGTCAAGCCATTTGGCCCATCTAGTTTATTACCAATTAAACACTGGAAGCCATTGTCCAGATGTATAATCTTACCTGCAGATGCCAAAGACTGGACCTAGGTCCATCATTTAGAGTAAGACTCCACCAAAAGTGAAGACTCTAGCTTCAAAGCAAGGCAGGTGTGCTAAACATGCTGCCTGAAGATACCACATGTCTGTAGATATCTTCGTTGGTATCTACCAAGCTTCCTGCTTCATATCCTGCTTTCTTATGCACTCATCTCACTTGGGCTACCATTTTGTAAAAGTACGCACAACATATTCCCAAAATTCTGTGTGTGCTTACCAAGATGGATGAATGAATGAGCCCCCATACATCAAATTCCTCTTTTTTAAAGTGGGGTCCTTCATTGGTCGATGGAGATTCTCAGTCATCCAAGTCACGATTGTCCCAAAAGCGCTTTTTTCAAGAGGCATCTGGACTTTCTGATTTTTCTTCAAAGATGTTTCACTTCTCATCCAAGAAACTAAAGAAGCTTCTTGGATAAGAAGCAAAATGTCTTTTAAAATGTCAGAAGTCCAGTTGCCTCTTTAAAAAGCATCTTTGGGACAGGGTCCTTCATTGTTGATGTATTCTATCATGAAAGCCACTTCTCCCAGCTCAGTAACAACGGCAACAACATTTAACTAGCATCACTTTCATTCCATAATCAGGGAACAAACCAGCATGAAAAATGAGTCCAAGAGCTCCCTCTCCTACTGTCCCAAATTTCTTACCTCTAGGAATTCCAAGACTGGCTGATCACATTTCTCAACCATGTCCTGGATGATGTAATCAAGAACAAACAGCTCCTTGGAGATTACAGCCATCTGATCATTGGTTTTCAACGTGATCTCCATCTTTACTTCTTCAACCTTAGTAAGCCAAAAGGTGCTTTGTTCTAATACAAGTTGACGCAGATGATTGAATCCATCCACCACTTTCTTTTCCTCCGCTCCAACTAGTTGCTGTAGAAAAAAGGATTTTGAGAGGAAGGTGAGCATATCTATTAATTCTTAAAAATAATGGACGACGCTTGCAACAGAACAACCATTGGCTGGGTTCATACAATGTTCTAACTACGCAGTCCAGTTTGATAACACTCAGCTCCTGTGCACATCTAACCTGCTGACTTGATGGTCTTGTTCACACAGGTTATTGAGGAATCAAAACCTGCTTATTTTAGCTTATTTACCTAAGGAACTATTTAACAAGGAACTATTAGCTTGGGAATACTCTGCCTTTAGCACCAAAGATAAGACTGAAGCAGAAAATTCTTGATTCTTATATTTAATCATTAGACCTGGGTTCAGTCACTTGAAGATATCTCATTCACTCCAGCCAATATACTGAGAGATATTGCTTTGCTAAAAAAAACAACCCAGTAATGGTTGTTTGCTTGCAGATGTTTCATTACCCAACTAAGTAACAATAACATAATCTGACACTACTGATGTAAGCTAGTAGGATACAAGTTGTTTGTAAGCAAACAAACAACCTCAGAGAGCATCAAGGGCCCCATGGTTCAATCCTGAGGCCACGTGTATATCTTATGATAGTATTGAAAACAGGATATCATGATTATTCACTTCTCAATAGTAGCAATACCTACAATCAGGTCTTGACTTTGTTTATATGTGTCTGAGAGATGCTCCCTAATCACTTCTTTCTCCTTCCTTAGACTCTCAATGCAACTTAAAATTTGATCCTGAAAGAGAAACAAATAAATGGAAGCCAATGCAAGAAGTAACATGCAAGCGGACAGCTGGCTGATGAGTTTTAAAGCAGTAGGGACACTTTTTTTCTAAATGCTGTCTTGCTCTCTTATTCCATATCCAAATTCTCTACTCAAGCTCCTGAAGGTTACTGGTATTATTATGAAACCAACGTATATGTCAGTCTTGGAAGCCATATTTTATTTCAAAGCTTCAAGGCTGCCATATTTTGTGCCTGGGAAAATGGGAGGGGGAATTTCAGAGAGAGGTGGAAGATTAGACTCAACAACATTCTTTTCTAGAAGTCAAGGACATGTCACACTGCACCTGGAGAGGAGTGACTCAAGGAATGTCCCTAGTTGGGACGTGTTTGATTGGGCCATGTGATGGAACTGGTGGGTGCAGGGGATGGATCTTTGACTTTCTATTGCAAGGGTCTTCAAACTCTGCATGTTTAAGACTTGTGGACTTCAACTCACAGAATTCCTGAGCTAACATGACTGGAGGAAGAATTCTGGGAGTTGAAGTCCACAAGCCTTAAAGCTGTTGAGTTTGAAGACCCCTGTTTTATTGGGAAGGGAAAACCCGGAACTCTCAGATTCGGGTTTTCCCAGATGTGCCAATAGGACAACCCTAATAAAATGGGACTTTGAGAAAATGCTTGTCTCCGAGTTTATTGGTTTGGAGTTTGTTAGTTGGAACACTGACAGTATATTTTTTTTGAATCCCCCACCTTATACTCCTCAGCAGCTTGTGCCACGGAGATAACATTATGAGTCTCATGTTCCTGGGATCCATCACAATGTACGCAAATGGGGACAAGATCATCTTTGCAGAAAGACATGGCTGGCTCATGTCCCTGACAGGTTTTGCTCCTCCTTGCCATCTGCTTTGCCTGATCACTCAGTTGCCTGATTAACTGGACAGCATTAGCCAGCTGTCCGTTTGGCTTAAAATTCAACCGAGGAACCGCTACTCTGCACTGAGGGCAAGAGGTCCCATCGGAAATCTGTGCCCAGCACTTCACAATGCAGGCATGGCAGAAGTTGTGCCCGCAGTCAAGAGTCACCGGTTGTATGAGGTACTCCGAACACACAAAGCAGGTTATTTCTGACTGCAGCTTCTTCCCAATGTTCCCAGTAGCCATGCCGTCCGAAATTCACAGTAAGCAAAGTTGAATGTGTGAGGTCTGTTTCCACAAGAGCCAGGGGCAGTTTTAGCAAGCACAGCTGCAGCAGATCCACCAGAAAGTAAGCTGCATGAGGAAAAAGAAGAGAGAAAATAGCTACTGGGTAGGAGGGAGAGTTCCATCTTAGATGTTCCATCCCTCCAAAATGTCCTTAGTTTCAGAATAGAACTGGAAGGGATCTTGGAGGTCTTCTAGTCCAACCCCCTGCTCAAGCAGGAGACCCTATACCATTTCAGATAGGTGGCTGCCCAGTCTCTTCTTAAAAATGTCCAGTGAAGAAGCACCTACAACTTCTGAAGGCAAGCTGTTCCACTGGTTATTTGTTCTCACTGTTAGGAAGTTTCTCCCTAATTCCAGGAAAAAGCGGGGAAGAGGAAGGAAAGAATATCCCTTAGCTTCCTAACTCCTAGTGTCAGAACCAAGCAGAAAAAAAACCTATGCTATCTAGAGTATAAATATATATGCCTTCAAACCGCAGTATAGTATCTAAGGTAAGGGTCTTCAAACTTGGCAAGTTTAAGACTTGTGGACTCCCAGAATTCCTGAGCTAACATGACTGGAAGAGGAATTCTGGGAGTTGAAGTCCACAAGTCTTAAAGCCGTCAGGTTTGAAGAGCCCTGAAGTAAGGTATCATACTGGTAGTAAGGAAACCAACGCTCACCTAACTGGGGGGATTTGGGGCCAATTGGTCCCTCAGCCCAACCTACCTCACAAGAGAGGGAGGGGGAAGTGTTCTGTAAGCGGCATTGAACTCCTGAATTAAAATAAGAGAGACAGATGTGCCTCACCTGTGCCAGCAGGGGATAATGGAGATTCTAGGAAAACACAACCGGAGAATACTCAGTTGTGGAAGATGGTTGGTGCATAACCCAGTTTCGCATCAAGGGTCACACAAACTACTACTTCTCGGTACCCATAGACGCCATCCTACTACAGACTTACCCCAAAGAAGCTACAACGAGGGCTCACACAAGCAACTGCTAGGAAACTCCGTTAGACAAAGAGAGTGCCGCCGCGTTTAGCAGCTCCAGGGAGCGTGTAAGAAAGGATCCTCCACGCTTCGATAAGACCACGGAACTACAACCCCCGACCGGCCATGTTCACCAGCTTTCAACCTCTTCTCTCCTCTCTAGTAGATTCTGTAAGAGAACCTAGTTAGTATTTTAATCATCTTTTCTTCCAATGGGAAAAGAGCTACGCCCCCTTCGCCCCTTTTCTATTTCTTTCCCCTCTCTCGTTAGTTCTTTCGGCAATTGCTAATTGGTCGAGATTGGCGGCGCTACATCTAATGGAATCTTCAGTTTCCTTTCATTCGACCATTGTGATTGGCCGGCAGCCTCTTAGACCGGCGTTCCATGGGGATCCATTCTTTTCTCCCGCTTTCGTTTTGTAAAATCCCGCCTATTCGGAGAGCGCCCCGGATTCTGCAGTAAAGGAAAGTCGTCGGTTGGCATCTTTTGGCGGGCAACCCCCCCCCCCCCCATTTCTGAGCGGCTGAAGAAATTAAGGGGATGTGATCGCCACGGGTTTGAAAAGAAGGCGGAGTAATTTTTGAGCGTGCTTGCAATTTTTTGTAAATTAGACAAGCCCTTGTGTAATTTTTGAGCATGGTTGCAATTTTTTGTAAATTAGACAAACCCTTGTGTGAGACGTTTGTTTCCCTTCACCCCCGTGCCTTGATAGTGGATCGTTTCTGTAGAAGTCTTTTGTATAATCCTCCAGCCTGAATGTAGGGAATGGAGGAATAGAAATAGAATATAATAGAATTCTTTATTGGCCAAGTGTGATTGGACACACAAGGAATTTGTCTTTGGTGCATATGCTCTCAGTGTACTTAAAGAAAAAATAAAATATATTTGTCAAGAATCGTAAGGTACAACACAGTGATAGTCATAGGATACCAATAAGCAATCAAATCATACCAGGGAACAATAAAAATATAAGTTGTAAAGATACAAGCAACATGGATATAGCCATAAGTGGGAAGAGGTAAGTAATAGGAAGGATGAGAATAGTAACACACTTAGTAGTTAATTCGACAGTGTTGTGGGAATTAGTTGTTTAGCAGAGCGATGGCATTTGGGGGAAAACTCTCCTGGTGTCTTGTTCTGACGTGCACAGCCCTAATATAACTGTATTTAGTGTTTGTAGCAGTTCTCCCAGAAGCAGTGTAAAAAAGTTAAATAAAGCAGAAGAGTAATATCTCCATCACTGTTTGATATTCATCAAAATGTTTGATATTCATCAACTGTTTGATATTCATCAAAACAAAATACAAAACTGCTTCACAATAGTCTTTCAGAAGTCTTTTTATTTTGCCAGTCAAGCCTCATTATGGGCTTTGTAATCCCCCATCCATATATTACCTAGGTCTGAGCCTGATTAGCTGTTGGGGATCAGCCCAGCTCGATTAAGTGCAGGATCTCCTATCTTGCTCAAAAGATGCTGTAGAGAGCATGAGAGACGCTATGAATGAGGGTGAAGGTTCGTTCTCCGAGCTTGTGGGTTGGTTTCTGAACATTTCCTTACCAGGCTAGGTAACATCTCAGCGAAGTTTAGGGGATGCCCTCAACTCTGCTGAAGATGTTACCTAGCCTCGTAATGAAAAGTTCAGAAACCAACCCACAAGCTCGGAGAACGAACCTCCAGTTTTGCTCACCACACTATAAAAAACATGTTGAGACTCTAGAAAAAGTGCAGAGAAGAGCAACCAGGATGATTAGGGGACTGGAGACTAAAACATATGAGGAACGGTTACAGGAACTGGGCCTGGCTAGTCTAGTGAAGAGAAGGGAGACATGATAGCAGTCTTCCAATACTTGAGGGGCTGCCACAGAGAGGAAGGGGTCAAGCTATTTTCTAAAGCACCCGAAGGCCAGACAAGGAACAATGGATGGAAACTGAACAAGGAGAGATTCAACCTGCAAATAAAGAGAAACTTTCTGACAGAACAATCAACCAATGGAACACCTTGCCCTCAGAAGTTGTGGGAGCGCCATCACTTGAGACTTTCAAGAGGTTGGACTGCCATTTGTCAGAAATGGTGTAAGGTCTCCTGCTTGGGCAGTGGGTTGGACTAGATGACCTTCACCCTCATCCCAAACCCGAGCTACAAATATTCGCCAATAGGGCAAACACAATGAATAGCTAACCCTGCCCACTCCAACCTCTGCCTTCCCCCTCTAAGGAAGATTGGGGTCAGAAGCACGGGAGAAATGAACAACCAGTAGCCAGGAAAGAAGTAGCAAACTACTTTCGGCCTCACACGTAGCAAGGTAGAAGAAAGAAAAGGCAGAGGTGATGCTTAAACAGGAGTTTCTTTAAAAATGAAGAGAGGCTTATGTGCATTTAGTGGTTGAAAAGTTTGAAAACTAAAAGGAACCACAAAAGCAATGGGGGATAATAATCCTTTATTAAAAACCACATATTAAATTCTAAAAAAAAACCAATTGGTTTTCATCTTTATTATGCAAAAGAACGGTGTTTTTAAATGTGAGTATCCCGATCCGCTTAACTACAAATCAACTCGCTGTGATTAACAAAAGTGTTTGCGTGTGTTCAAAATAGCATCCCCGAAACGATTGTGTTCAGCTCTTATTTCTCCATATTAAGAGCTGCTCCCCACACTAAAACTTTAATTGGATGCCTCCATTAAAGATTATAAAATGATAAAATCGCTAAGACGGGTCAACACTGCACCCTCCAGCACTACTTGGGAATTTTGACCCCTCCAAGGCTGGTGGATTTCGCATCAGGTGTGGCTCCCTTTAAAAAGAACATAGCAACTTTGTAAGAGTTCCTTCCACATCATGCCAGTTTGCGCCTGAAAATTCATTCCAAGTATTTGGTGCTTGAGGATGAGATGGAGAGGAAGAAAACAGAGATAAAGGGAAACGGATACTAAGAAAGAGGCCCCAGAGATCTAGAGACGGAAGGGATCTGGTGGTGGGTTTTCTGCCTTAGGGGCAAAGCGAGAGACGGGTTTTCTTCCCAATCCAAAAGAAAGGGTGAATGGGCTCTCCAAAATATGAAGTTACGGAGAAGGCATAGAGCAGGTTTCCTCTTTCAACATCATAAAAAGCCACCCGGCCTCCAGCGTAGTTCAGAGAGACTCGAATCTTCTTGATCTTCCAACGCATTGGATCAGAAACTAAAGCTGGAGGGTTCATGTACACCCAGAACCTGCCACAACACTTTGCCATTGCCCAGATCCCTTCCATATTACGGAAGGCCTCAATGCCCTTTCTCTTCATTGAACTTCGGGCAACTCCGACAGCCCAATCGCTCTCATTTTCCACAGCAACATCCCAATAATGCCTGCCGGTGACGAACATCTCGCGTCCCAACACACATGGCATGAGGTCAAATCTCTTGTCATCGTTGACGAGGTTTTGACTTCTTCCCAACCAGCAGCTTTTAAGATCTTCAGAGAGAATGAGCTTGGGATGAGCTGTGTCAGGATCCAGAGTCACATTTGCTATGAAGAAACACAATTGCCGTAAGTCATCCCTAAGATGGAAGGCTGCTCATCAAAAGCTCACACGTTAGTAAAGAATACTATCTGATACGCCTTTGGCTATGCGGTGGGATTCATTCTTAACGGCAAAGAAGCAGAAATGGGGAAAAAAAGGGGGGGAGAAGATTTGTGCCTCCTGGAAATTGTAGGTAAGAATTAAGGGGATCCAGGTTGGAAAAGACTTGGATGGAGAGCAGTGGTGGGATTCAAAATGTTTTACTACCAGTTCTGTGGGTGTGGTTTGGTGGGTGTAGCGTGGCTTGATGGGCGTGGCAAGGGAAGGATACTGCAAAATCCCATTCCCTCCCTACCCCACTAACCTGCTTTCCAGCTCCATTCTCCTGTGCAGGGCAACCAAAGAAGACCCAGCCAATCAGCTGGGACTCAGGAGGCAGAGTATGGATGGGGCAGGGCCAATCAGAGGTGGTCAGAACCTGCTGAATACCACCTCTAGTGGGGAGAGGTTGCAATCACAACAGAGATGATATTCAGCAGGTTCTGACCACTTCTGGAGAACCGGTAGCAGAAATTTTGAGTAGTTTGGAGAACCGGCAAATATCACCTCTGACTGGCATACCAGTAGCGCTGAAGATCAGTAGAGACCAAACCGGTTCTCTCTGAGGAGCTGCTGTTGGGCCCACCCGCCCACCTGGGCTCCCATACTCACCTTTATTCCCTGCTTTTGAAGCACATCTGCTTTGCGCGGCACAGCAGATTGCCGGGCATCAGCTGCTGCAGTGATAGGGAGAGTGCAGGATAGCAAGAGGTGAGTAGGAAAGCCTCTGCGCCTGTGGTTCGGTGGCCGTGGCCTGCGCAAGCCACACCCACTGAACCAGTGGTAACTTACTTTGAAACCCACCACTGGCCCCGCTCCCATCTATTATCTGCCTCCCGAGTCCCAACTGATCGGCTGGGTCTTCTTTGGTTGCCCTGCACAGGAGAATGGAGCTGGAAAGCAGGTTAGTGGGGTGCGGAAGGAATGGGGATTTTGCAGTAACCTTCCCCTGCCACACCCACCAAGCCAAGCCCGGCCCACCAAGCCACGCCCACAGAACTAGTAAAAAAATTTGAGTCCCACCACTGAATCACAAGGCTATTGGATTTGTCACTCTCCAGAGAAATTTTGGGTTTCAGCAACATCCTCCAGTTCACCATCCAATGACGTTGTAATCTCACAGACTTGAAAAATGTGGATTGTAGTTTGACGATCAAAAGGAGGACATTTAAACAGTAATCCTCCTGTATTAAATATTAATATCACAGAGAAATCACAGAAAATGGTGTGGTGACCTAGAAGTGGAGCTCTCGCCTCACAATCAGGAGGCTGTGCGTTCGATCCTAGGTAGAGGCTGATGTTTCTCTCTCTGAGTACAACGAGAATATATCTGCTGCAAAAACTCCACATTGGCGACCAGAAGGGCATCCGGCCAATAAACACTCAGCTCCATTCCTCCACCCCACAAGAGATTACCGGGTCATTAAACGACGAGCATAGGCAGAAATCACAGAACTACGCAGCATTGCTATGTTTTCTTTCAATTTAAAAGCATTGACATTATCTCTCTTTTTTTTTTCTAATAGAAAAGGCTCAATCCTGTTTTGGACAAAGGACCCAGGATGGATAGATGGTGAACGCCCATGTGAAATACAAGCAAAGAAGTTTGTGAAGATTTAGCCACCCTTCAGACCCAGAGATATACCTTTCTGAATCTGATATCCAGACACCAGGATATCTAAGGGAATAGAGAAACAGATTAAGTAACTCAACGCAACACTTCTTCGAACAAAATATAATTTGCTGTCAAGGTATCATGGACACTGCATTTCAAGACCACCTAACTAAACAATAGTTGAGCAGATTCTGAATGTTAAATAATGTTTCCAAGCCTTCCAAATGATTTATAAAAATTAGAAGAGTTACATACAATACAAGTTGTATTAGATTTTTAGATCACAGACTAATTCATAATCCTGGTTCTGGCTCAGTGTGTTTGAACTCAATTAAGTTTAATCAACAACCACAGTTAAACAACATGGTGTAACATGATACTTGAATCCAATCTTTGCCTTCTCTAAATATGAAATGTTTTCATATTTCATATTCCTAGTTATGAGTATGCAAGCAAAGTTCTGATGTCCAGTTACATACATACTGCCTTGCAATTCCTCAGCAGCATTTGAAATTACCTGCAGACTTAGTTTCAAATGCAAAACATTGTGTAATTCAAATATTAAGGAACTCCCTAAAATGCCTTCCTCCTGAAAATTTCAGGAAAAGAAGTGCTTCCCAATAATTCCTGGAGATGCCAAAAATTGAATCCAGATTTTTCTCATACAAAGCAAACACTCTATTTGCAATTGTTTTTTTTTAATGTCAGTGGGTCTCTTAAAGGCATTGTATGGATCTCAGTCTGAAAATAATCCTTGCTACCTCTCCAGACTTCCTCCATTCCTTTGTCATGCCAATCTTATTTCCACTTAACAACTTTGATAGCAGAGTTCTGCAACAAAAGCCGATTAAGCCATTGTGACTGGTTCAACTTCCTCCAAAAATTAAAACTTTCTTCTCAAGTGGACCTTAAATTCCTGATAAGGCCCTTCTAGTTTTCCAGCATTTACCTGCACCAATCAGCATCTCCCCATCACCAATTTTTATGTTTTGTCTCAGTCCTTTTCTTACCTTTGAATTGTTTCATGAGAGTCCCTAGAAAGGTATTGAAGTCAAGTAAATCCCAGGCTCCCAATTTCACCCATGGAGGAAGCATTACTGGATTCATAAGTGTTTCCTTACAGCTAAGAAAAAACAAACATGTTAGTTTACTTTATTGTCATTGCACCTCGTACAATGAAATTAAATGCCATCTTCAGTGTACATTATAACTATAAAAATAAAACACAAATACCTATCCTTCACATTCTAACAACTGAATTGAAAACCCCTGATATTGCATTAATATTGCATTATACAGAAGAATTCAATATAGTTACTGCTCCGGGATAGAAGCTATTTTTTAGCCTATTTGTCCTTGTTTTTATTATCCTGTACCGTCTGCCAGATGGTAATAGTTCAAAAAAAGGGTGCCCAGGATGAGATGGAACTTTGAGAATGTTTCGAACTTTCTTAAGGCAGCGGGAGCTATAAAGCTCTTCCAAAGAGGGGAGAGGTCAACCAATGATCCTCTGGGCAATGATGTTAACCCTCTGGATCCCTGTCCTATCTGCCACTGTGCATTTGGCAAACCATACACAGGTGTAGTAAGTTAAAATACTCTTCTATGGTGCAGTGGTAGAAGGTTACCAGCAGTTTTTCATTCGGTTGTTTCCTGAGTCTCAGGTAGTATAATCTCTGCTGAGGCCATCTTTGGAGGAATAGAAAAATCCGGGACAAGATCTTTTTTTATAATGTTGAACGTCCTCAGATCCAAAAGGGCTCAATAAACTCACATGAAAAATGAAGTATTGTTCTTTGCTCCATAGACGGAAGGAGGGAAGTGAATGTGTTACAATTGAAATTATAGGCGATCAAGAATATCTTTTAAAAGAGCCAGCTTCCAAACTATGGTTCCCAGCGCCTTTCCTAAAGTATGGGAGAACTACAATTATCACTGGATTGTTAAGAATGTTAGGGCCTTTCAAAACTACCCAACCTTGAGCAAGGATAAATCTCCCGGCGTGCCACGCGCGTGGTCTCTTTTTGTTCCGCGTGGCCAAGATGGCGGACACGCAGATGGAGTGGGCCTACCAGAAGCAGCCCACCATCTTCCAGAACAAGAAGCGGGTCCTGCTGGGCGACGCCGGCAAGGAGAAGCTGCCCCGCTACTACAAGAACATTGGCCCGGGCTTCAAGACCCCCCCAAGGAGACCATCGAGGGCTCCTACATTGACAAGAAGTGCCCCTTCACCGGCAACGTCTCCATTCAGGGCCGCATCCTTTCCAGTGTGGTCACCAAGATGAAGAAGCAACGCACCATTGTCATCTGCAAGGACTGCCTGCACTACATCCGCAAATACAACCGCTTCGAGAAGCGGCACAAGAACATGTCGGTGCACCTGTCTCCCTGCTTCAGGGATGTGCAGATTGGGGATATTGTGATGGTGGGAGAGTGCCACCCCCTCAACAAGACTGTCCGTTTCAACATACTCAAGGTGACCAAGGCTTCTGGCACCAAAAAAACAGTTCCAGAAGTTTTAAAGGCTATTTGTACTTTTCTTTGTATCAATAAAGAAGCTGGTGTATATATATATATATATATATAAACTACCCAACCTTAAGAAAATATGAGTCAAAAATGATATTTAAGGGGTAAATACTCTACAGGGCTCAAGGCATCCATATTAACTCTTCAACTGTCCTTCTTCCAAAGTACAGGCATCATTCAATCCAGTGAAGTCATATCAACCAGGTAAAATATGAGGACAAAATGTAATCCCAGACTCAAAAGGTCTGCCCACCCATTCTCCAAAATCTGATCCCTATTCCTACATTTGGGTGGATGCTTCCAGCTGGCTACTCTTTTTTCTTTGAGAAATTACATGGGACTTGATAGTCTTCATAATAAGCCTATTTTATTTATGGAATTTGCATCCCACCATTTTGCCAAAGAATGGTGATCTAGGATGAAGCAGGTAAGAGGGACAGGATAAAGTCTAGTAGGCCTAGGCAGAAACAAAAAAGCAGGAAGAAAACTAGAATGGAATGGAATGGAATGGAATGGAATGGAATGGAATAGAATAGAATAGAATAGAATAGAATAGAATAGAATAGAATAGAATAGAATAGAATAGAATAGAACAGAATTCTTTATTGGCCAAGTGTGGTTGGACAGACAAGGAATTGGTCTTTGGTGCATAGGCTCTCACTGTACATAAAGGAAAAAGATATATTCATTGAGAACCATAAGATACAACACTTAGTGATAGTCATAGGTTACTAATAAGCAATCAAATCATACTAGGAAACAAAACAATATAAATTGTAGAGATACAAGCAACACAGATATAGTCATAAGTGGGAAGAGGTAGGTACTAGGAAGGATAAGAGGAATAACAGTAATGCAGTCTTAGTAAATAAGTTGACAGTGTTGTGAGAATTAGTTTTTTAGCAGAGTGATAGCGTTCAGGGAAAAACTGTTCTTGTGTCTAGTTGTTCTAGTGTGCAGTGCCCTATAGCGTCGTTTTGAGGGAAGAAGTTGAAACTATGTCCAGGATGTGAGGGATCTGTAGATATTTTCACATGCCTCTTTTTGACTCGTGCAGAATACAGGTCCTCAATGGAAGGCAGGTTGGTAGCAATTGTTTTTTCTGCAGTTCTAATTATCCACTGAAGTCTGTATCTGCCTTGTTTGGTTGCAGAGCCAAACCAGACCATTACAGAGGTGCAGATGACAGACTCAATAAAAGGAAAACTACTCAGAAAGTCAAAAGTCCCCCAAGAATTGATATTTAACCAGAGCCACATGCAAAGTGGACTCCAAGGCCTGTCTCTTATCTATCATGTTGACTTCTTGTTGACTTCTCTTAATCATCACTGAAGATTATCCTCATTAATCTTCTGATAAGATCACTGGATCATCACTTAGGTCACAGTTGTGCGTCATGATGTTAACTTGCTCTACTCAAGTAACTGGGCTTGAATACATGCAGTACAATTTGGATTAGATTGTCTAAACAAATTATGCAAACTTTTATAGTGATAATCAAATACACTTGTTTTCATTTCTAACATGTCAAAACAAAAAATATGGAATCCCATGATTTCACAATTTCTTTTTTTTTAAAACAAATTTTATTAATTTTAAAGACAAACAAATCATCATTAACCATTACATACTTAAACCTTTTCCCATTATAAATTTTACAAGTCAAATAAAACCTTATTTTATACAATATAATTCTATTTTAAACCATTTCCATATGAGCATACAAATACCTCTTATCCAATTTCTCTTTACTTCTCTTTACTCTTATTCAATTTCACTATTATTATTTCATCTATTTCTTTCTGACTTGGTTACCATTATTCTCATTCTGTATTTCTGCAAGGTTTTATTAATTCTCCCAGAAACATAAACACACAACACACAAACATATAAAAAATCTTTTAGGAAAGTAACTTGGCCCCAGGTACCTCTCTCTACATGGACTTCAATTATATTCATGCTCATCTTACATATCATTACCTATTTTATTTACCATTCTATATCTTCTATATTAGCTTCTCCACACATTTCACTCTTCTTAATTCTATCTTATTTAATCCATCTTAATTTGAGTCATTATATTTGTATCTTTTGTCCATTCTTTATTATCCCTCTATCTCATTCCTTATAATAAAAAAAAAGAATTTCTCCTGAAATCACTAATCAGAGTATGATGCCTTTCTATCTTCCCCCTAAATTAATTAGATTAACATTTAAAATAACACCTAATACCCAATCTGATTCTGCTTGGTACATTCTATCTACTAATTATTATTATTTTTAATAAAAGAAAAATAATAAATCCAAAATGATTAAATACATAGTTAAATAATAGATCTAAATATTGAATCTTATAACATTCCCATTGCCTTTTCCAAAAACAAATGCTACTATAATAATTTTATAATAACATCAATACCATAGTCATATTAAACTCTTTAATTAAAACTCAATATTCTAAACATTCCCTTTAATATTTTATTAAATTTTAAAATTTAATATTTAATAAATTTTAAAATCATTACTAAACATTTCAACAGTTTAATCTCTTATTAACTCTTAAACCATTCTAATTTTCTATTTCTAATACAAATGCTACAATACCATCTTATGTACCTTGCAAAATCTTTTTTAAAGAAATTGTACTTTACCCTTTGTCCCTAAAAAAGATTCCTCTTTTCCCATCTGATTTCAAAACTTTGTGGCTTTTCTCCACCTTTTCCCTTTTTTTCTTCCCCCACCAGACCTTCCTACCCCCTCTTCTCCTAGCCTCTGCCTTACTGGCTTTCCCTTCTCTGTTGTGTTCCTTTTTTCTTTTGTTTACTATCATTATATTGATTTTGCACCTTATTTTTCTCTTTCTTGAGTGTTTTTTTAAATCTTAAGTCCTTCATTTTCCTTCCTTTCTTCCTTCCTTCTTTCTTAGTTAAATTTTGAAATTCATTAAAGATGGCTTCTTCTTCTTCTTCTTCTGCTGCCTCCATCTGTTGTAGTGTTTGTTGATAGTTAGCAAGCGCCATTTCTAAAAAAAGGAAGGCTTCTTTCACACCATCTTTGCCATCTGTTTTTGTTTGCTCATATTCTTTTCTCAGTTCCTCAGCAAAAAAAGCCATTATAAATCTTTTCTTTTCTTTTTTTTCCCCCTCTTTCTTCTTGCACCAACCAAGATATTTCAAAAAAATAAAACAATCCCAAAGTCCTCAATCAATCCAAGCCAAGACAAAGTTCTCACTTTCTCTTCCTGGGGTAGTATCAATCAAAAAAAAGAAAGTCCAAATCCGTATCTTAAAGCCTTATTGGAATTATATTTCAGTCTTCAAATCCTTAAGGCATCTCCTCCAACAAAATCCTAACACATGAATATATTCTTTGTCCTCTCCCTTCCCACTTATCACACAAAGCTAGTTTTTACCTGAAAAAGACAGGTTTCTCAGTATCCACTTATTGATTCCGTAGGGAAGGAGAGTAAACTTTCCTTTCAGCACCTCAAAATTGCC